GGCTGAGTTTGGAAGCAGAGAGAGCAGGGGACACTGCCCCCCTAGTCTTTTAAAAGAAGAATGAACAGTTCTTCCCTGTTCATGTTTTTGTTTCTTCAACAGGGAAGAGTGGGCAGGTCTAAGACAAACATGCTGAGCACATTCTGTCAGGAAGGACAGACAGGGAAAAAAGGGAGGAGGGGTTGCCTTGTATATTAAAAATGTACACACTTGGACTGAAGTGGAGATGAACGTAGGAGATAGCTGTGTAGAGAGTCTCTGGGTTAAGCTAAAAGGGGTAAAAAACGAGGGTGATATCATGCTAGGAGTCTACTACAGGCCACCTAGCCAGGTGGAAGAGGTGGATGAGGCCTTTTTTAAACAATTAACAAAACTATCCAAAGCCCAAGATTTGGTGGTGATGGGGGACTTCAACTATCCAGACATATGTTGGGAAACTAACACAGCGAGGCACAGGCTATCCAATAAGTTTCTGGACTGCATTGGAGACAACTTTCTGTTTCAGAAGGTTGAAAAAGCTACCAGAGGAGAAGCTGTTCTGGATTTGGTTTTAACAAATAGGGAGGAACTAGTTGAGAACTTGAAAGTGGAAGACAGTATAGGGGACAGTGATCATGAAATAATAGAGTTCATGATCTTAAGGAAAGGTAGAAGGGAGACCAGCACAATTGAGGTTATGGATTTCAGGAAGGCAGATTTTGATAAGCTCAGAGAACTTGTAGGTAAGGTCCCATGGGAAGCAAGACTGAAGGGAAAAACAACTGAGGAGAGTTGGAAGTATTTCAAAGGGACGTTGTTAAGGGCCCAAAAGCAAACAATTCCGCTGTGTAGGAAAGATAGAAAATATGGCAAAAGACCAGCTTGGCTTAACAAGGAGATCTTGCATGATCTCAAAATAAAAAAGGAGTCATATAAAAAATGGAAACTAGGACAACTAACAAAGGATGAATATAGGCAAGCAACACGGGAATGCAGGGGCAAGATTAGAAAGGCAAAGGCACAAAATGAGATCAAACTAGCTACAGGCATAAAGGGAAACAAGAAGACCTTTTATAAATACATTAAAAGCAAGAGGAAGACCAAGGACAGGGTAGGCCCACTGCTTAGTGAGGAGGGAGAAGCAGTAACAGGGAACTTGGAAATGGCGGAGATGCTCAATGACTTCTTTGTTTCGGTCTTCACCGAGAAGTCTGGAGGTGTGCCTAACGTAGTGAATACAAGCAGAGAGAGGGTAAGTTTAGAAGATAGGATACACAAAGAACAAGTTAAAAATCACTTAGGAAAGTTAGATGTCAGCAAGTCACCAGGTCCTGATGAAATGCATCCCAGGATACTCAAGGAGCTGATAGAGGAGGTATCTGAGCCTTTAGCTATGATCTTTGAAAAATCATGGCAGACAGGGGAGATTCCAGAAGACTGGAAAAGGGCAAATATTGTGCCCATCTATAAAAAGGGGAATAAGAACAACCCAGGAAATTATAGACCGGTCAGTTTAACGTCTGTCCCAGGGAAGATAATGGAGCAGGTAATTAAGGAAATCATATGCAAACACTTGGAAGGTAATAAAGTGATAGGGAATAGCCAGCATGGGTTTGTGAAGAACAAGTCATGCCAAACTAATCTGATAGCTTTCTTTGATAAGATAACGAGCCTTGTGGATAAGGGAGAAGCGGTGGATGTCATATACCTAGACTTTAGTAAGGCATTTGATACGGTCTCGCATGATATTCTTATTGATAAACTAGGCAAATATAACTTAGATAGGGCCACGATAAGGTGGGTGCATAATTGGCTGGATAACCGTAGTCAGAGAGTTGTTGTTAACGGTTCTAAATCCTGCTGGAAAGGGATAACAAGTGGAGTTCCTCAAGGGTCTGTTTTGGGACCCGTACTGTTCAATATCTTCATCAATGATGTAGATATTGGGATAGAGAGTACTCTTATTAAGTTTGCAGATGATACCAAACTGGGTGGGGTTGCAACTTCTTTGGAGGATAGGGACATAATTCAAAATGACCTTAGCAAGTTAGAGAAATGGTCGGAGGTAAACAGGATGAGGTTTAATAAGGAGAAATGCAGAGTGCTCCACTTAGGAAGGAACAATCAGTTCCATACATACAAGATGGGAAGCGACTGTCTAGGAAGGAGCATGGCGGAAAGGGATCTAGGGGTCATAGTGGACCACAAGTTGAATATGAGTCAACAGTGTGATGCTGTTGCAAAAAAAGCAAATATGATTTTAGGTTGTATCAACAGGTGTGTTGTAAGCAAAACTCGTGAAGTCATTCTGCCGCTCTATTCTGCACTAGTTAGGCCTCAGCTGGAGTACTGTGTCCAGTTCTGGGCGCCACATTTCAAGAAAGATGTGGAGAAATTGGAAAGGGTACAGAGAAGAGCGACAAGAATGATTAAAGGTCTAGAGAAGCCTATGAAGCCAGGCTTCATGAACTGGGCTTGTTTAGTTTGGAAAAACGAAGATTAAGGGGGGACATGATAGTGGTTTTCAAATATCTAAAAGGGTGTCACAAGGAGGAAGGAGAAAATTTGTTTCTCTTGGTTTCTGAGGACAGGACAAGGAGTAATGGGCTTAAAGTGCAGCAGGGGAGGTTTAGATTGGACATTAGGAAAAAATTCCTAACTGTCAGGGTGGTCAAATATTGGAATAAATTGCTAAGGGAGGTGGTGGAATCTCCCTCTCTGGAGATATTTAAGAACAGGTTAGATAGACATCTGTCAGGGATGGTGTAGATGGAGCTTGGTCCTGCCTTGAGGGCGGGGGGCTGGACTCGACCTTTTGAGGTCCCTTCCAGTCCTATGATTCTATGAATAAAGCCCAAATATTGAACTCCTATTCAAAATAGGAATGTGAATGGTTAACATCACCCTTTCTGGGTGATGCTTACTACTTATGGTCAACGTGCAGGCTGCTCCAGCTCTGTGGGACCTGGCATGCCACAGGCAGAGATGCTCCAGCCTCCAGAGATCAATTCCCACCCCAGCCAGGGCCGCTGAAACAACTGCTGCCTGCCACACAGCTGCACATGTGGCTCTGGCCCCGGCTGGGGCAACCAGAGAAGCAGCTGCCTGTCACGTAGTTCCAGCTCTAGCCCCGGCCCAGCCTGTGGCTGCCAGAAAACTAGCCACCAGCTCCCCACCACGTGGCTCTGACTCGGGCCCCCACTGGGGCTGCTGGCACCCCACCATGTGGGGTGAAATAGCTGCTGGCACCCCACCATGTGGGTCTGGCTCTGGCCCCAGCTGGGGTTGCAGGAGGAATAGCCTCTGCCCCCGCCCCCCCCTCCACGCACCCAGCCCTTGCCATGTGGCTCCGGCCCTTGCCGGGGTTGCTGGAGGAGTAGCTGCCCATGACATGGCCAGCAGTTCCAGCCCTGGGGAAGGGCTGAAGCTGGAACTAGAGCCATGTGGTGGCTGCCCTGCTGCTCCTGCCACTCAGCCCCACCCCAGAGCAGCTGAGCAGCCACTGTGTGGCTCTGTTGAGGAGGTGGGTTGGTGGTAAATTTTTGGTGCACGCCTGTGCATGCACACACCTTAGAGTGAATCCTGATTGCTGCTATTATTAATGATAAACATCCACTTGCATATCGTCTATACAAGTGGACCGATCCTTTGTTTAGGCGCTCTAGAGGTGGTATAGGCAGTCTCTTGAGTATTCTCTTCCCTGCCCCCCCCCCCACCACACACCCAAAAGGGATATCTCAGATAAGAAAGAGCAACTATAGCAACTTCTTATGCCCCTCTTCTGCTGGCCCCCATCACAGAGGGAATGTTTTAGGGGAAAGGGAATTGTCTTGTGACCTCTCTCCCTCCCCCATTGCTGGAATGGTCCTGGAGGCAGTTGGCAGCTGGAATATCATTGGCAACAATCTACACATTGGGGCTATGCCAGTACAGAGCTGGCCAAGTATAGTGGGAGTACCAACAGCTCCTTAACATCCCACTCTCCCAAGCAGTGCCAAGCATTCAACTTCAGCTCTGGATCTGGCACTAGGACTATTTTTCATGTACTGATGCAGAGTTAAATGGTACAGTAAAAACACCTACATGAACTCCCCCAAATTGACTAGTACTGGTAGAGCTGGACTAGTGTGTAAAAAGTGCTGAGATGGATGCACCTTTTGTGGAGCTTGGGGGGAGGGGCATTCACCATCAACAAAATGGTGAAGTGCACAGAGTAAACAAACTGAAAGACAAAGAAGCACATTTTTTTAACCTTTACTGTAGTTCTAGATATTTTAGAGGTTATTTGTCACAGAATGTGGAAACAAGTTGGCAGTGTCCCATTTATTTTGAATTTTGTTTATTGTTGGTGGGATTGGTTATGTCACCCTTTATTAAGGTTGCCTCACACTTCCCATTTTAAGACTGTTTTCAGTTGCTTATATATTTCGTAGAATTGAGGAGCTAAAATCTGTGCTTTACATTTCTTCTAGCTTTTTGATAGAATAAAGTTATTTTGGATGCCTGCAAAGCATCAACCAGATTTTATTTATCTGAGGCATGTTCCTCTTCGAAAAGTCCATCTCTTCACCATAATTCAGCTGAGCTGTCTTGTACTCCTGTGGATTATAAAGGTTTCAAGAGCTGCCATTGTCTTTCCTATGATGGTAAGAAAATGTTTGATTTTCTGAAAAAGATAAGCCATTTCTTCTAATATACACAAAAGAATTACTAAAAAATATGAATTGTGTACAGGTATATTCAAAATCTATGTAAGGATAGCTTCACTTTGCATGATCTAAGTAAAATTCTATATAAACCATGCAGTTTGGATCAAATCTCATTCACTTTATATATGTGAATAACCCTGAGAAAGGTGAGTAGGATTTGGTAATTAATACTTCTAATTTTTTCCCCATTTGTTTCGTTTATATTAAGAATATCCATTCAGTAAGGGAGTTCAGGGCATGGAGAAACTTAGGTCAACTTACCCCAGTCATGTAAACAAGGCCAAAGTTGTGCTACTCTAGCTATGCAAATAACTTAGCTGGAGTCAACGTATCTTAGGTTGACTTACTACAGTGTCTATACCACACTGTGTCGATGGGGGAATGTCTCCCTTTAACTTACCTTACCCCTCTTACCCCAGTGGAGTACCAAGGCAACTGGAGAACACTCAGCATTTGATTTAGTGGCTCTTCATTAGACCTGCTAAATTTACCATTGTTGTATCAATCACATCAGCATCGATCCCCAGTAAATGTAGACATGGCCTTTGTTGTTAATGGTTTTATGACTAATTGGAATAAATATTTCAATTGATTCATATGATTCTGAAATCAGTTCTTCTTAGTTATATCTTTGAAGATTAACTGGCTCAGAATATACTGAACTCTAAAATAATAATAATTAATAATTAATTAATAACGTCCCAAGGAATGGAAAGTTCATTAGCCCTTCCAAAATAAAGAATAAAATTCAACTTCCCTCTTTAATGATACACTGACTCAGTGTATGAAAGCAAAGGAGAACAGACAGCATAACATCAAAATGTAGGCTTGTGCCATGCATGCATCTTGACCACAATTTAAATTGAAAGTGTCTTTTTAAAAGCATATTTAGCATTCTTGTTTTCCCACAGTAAACTGACCATTGAAATAAATGTCTTGACCAGGTTTTAGCTTTGGTGTTTGTCAGAAAACTCATGGATTTATTTTTTACCAAACGAGAGCTAAGCTGGTTGGATGATTTGATGCCTGAGAGCAAGAAAAAGAAACTCGAAGATGCAGAAAAAGAGGTAGGTTGGGATGTCATTGTTCACTTGTTTATTCTTCTATATCAATTTTTCCTTGAATTACCTCCCCCAAATCTTAGAACTGAATCATCTGCAAATCATCTGTCATATTTTAAAGTTCCAAATCTAGTGCTGGGGTAGGGCTAGGGATGAAGGGTTTGGGGTTCAGGAGGGGGCACTGGATTGGGAGTGGGGCTAAGGAGTTTGGCATGTGGGAGAGGGCTCCAAGCTGAGGCAGAGGTAGGGGTGTGAGAGGGGGTGCAAGCTCTGGGGTTGGGCTGGGAATAAAGGCGATGGGTTACAAGAGTGGGTTCCAAGCTGGCACAGAGGCTTGGGATGCAGGAAGTGTGAGGATTGTGGACTGTGGATGGCACTTACCTCAAGCTACACCTTGACCTCAGCTCCTAGGCAGAAGCATGGGTAGGCAGCTCTGCTCATTGCCTCTGCCGATGTGGAGCTGGCATTTGGGATGAGGGAAGCACACGGAGTCTCTGTGGCTGTTCCTCTAAGTGCCAAGTGACATGTCACTGTTTCCAGTAAGCCATGCAGAGCCAAGTAGGGAGCCTGCCAGCCCCATGCCAACCAGTCTCTTAATGGCCCAGAGCTGCCAGGGTCTCTTTTTGACTAGACTGCCGATAAAAGAACTGACCCCTGGCCACCCTCTGTGATTTGAACACAAGCCTAAGAATCAGAAACCTCAATATTCCAATCTTTTACAAAGGTATATATAGGCCCCTACTTTAGGCATTGCAACACTAACTGATTTAGGAGGCTAAATCTAATTTAAAAAGTGATTTAGGAACTCAGAAGCCTAAGCCCCTTTGGCTCTGAGTTGGATTTTGTCTCTAACTGCCTAAATCCTTTTACAGTGGTATATAGGCTCCTAATTCATACATTGCAACACTGACCACAGCATCACCTAAATATTTTAAAAAATCTGGGCCTTAGCCTCTTCACCTCAGTTTAGCCACCTGTAAAATGGAGATAAAAGTTGCTTGCCTCTCTCCCTGGTGCATAGTGAATGTTTATGAAAATATTTGAAAACTAAAGATGTAATATAAGTGATAAATATCTTAATTATTAATAACTACTATGTGCAATATACTTCCAAACCTATCAGAATGAAATTTAAAATACACTGTTCATTCTACTCGACCCAGTAAATGATATACCAGTGTAGACAAGAGATTTGAGCCCAGATCTATTGTCTTTTTTATTCAAACTAATATTAAGCAATCAAAGTACCTTTTTCCATTTTGGGGGGTTCTTGGAAAGGAACTCTTTCTATATCATCCCATATTTTGCTTATGTGTTGCTTTCTTTCATGTTCCAGATCGCATGGCATCAGAAAACAAAACTGGGAAAATCTTTTTTTTTTTTTCTGCTGCTGCTGCTTTATTTCAGTCACTGTCTATTTCGAGAGGTTATTTTTACATGTTTTGGCATTTCTAAATATTTGGAGCTATCATTAAAACTGTTTAACTGTCAAAAACTTATGAAGCTGTGAAGCTTGGAAATGACAAAATTAACTAGTAATAAAACTTCTGACATGTAGTCTAAAGAATTAATTGGAGAGTTGCTATCATACAGATTTTAAAAATAGAAATATTCTACCCACAAGAGTATAAATAAAGTTGACGAGATCTAAAAACTTATTCGACTGGATCAAAATTTTATAATTTACATTGCTGTACATTTCTAGGGCAACTTTTCCCACTGTTTTGCCATTTTCTTTTTGTACATTACCCATTTCTTCCACATACATACATTTCTTTGGAGGCCATTTGAGAGTTAACTACTTGAGATGTTTTGAATAAGACCGGAATAAACAAAATAAACTTTTCTCATTGTAAAAATAAAAATGGAGACTTTTTACAGGTTTAGTAGTAAACTGCGTAGAGAGACAAATTTACTTTTGGCAAGGCACAGAGGGAGATGATACTGGCCATTATAGCTAGTGCCAAATTAAGAATGAGGGCGTGAGGTATGGTCCATAGCCCAGGGTGGTGTCAGTGTCTGTCACACAGTGGAAGCTCTCACTTTGTTGCTATTGGTCAGTCTGAATCCTCCTAACATATGTGGGGATTAGCTAGTAGAGGGCTACCCATGAAAGACGAAAGAAGCAAGCCTGTTCCTATTCTGCCTCTACCTACTCCCCAGTATGAAAATAACATTCCCTCCCCCACTTTTTTTTTGGAGTTGGGTGTGCTGTTCTGGGTTAGCATAGGCTGTTATGTGGCATCTGTTGGTCAGTGCAGGCACACCTAACTTTGAAGCACTTGTGTGGGCCTACGCTATACAGACTATTATTTCTGTGAGCTGTTTGTTTTGTGATACTAGAGAGTTGGCCATGGGAGCATGGGTTAGGTTTTCTTTACTGGAGATAGAATTAATGGGGTTCATATGGACTCTCGTGCAACCACATTTTCCTGTAAATTACATATCCACTCGCCTTTGGACAGAGAATTTTGGACTTTCAGAGATCCTGGCACTCTTGTGGAAGATGTTGACGCTCTGCATGTAATAGGTTGCATGGGATTTTGGCTCTTAAGTAGGTCTTGGGAAGTCTGCTGGTCTGGCTGAGGTCTTGGAATAATGTGAGCCCTGTAGACTTGTATAGCATTGAGTTTAAATGATCTTTCTTCAGCCGAGGATATAGTTGAGGGATTCTCTGGATTTGAAGTCAGAAAGATAGGAAGAGCAGTAGCTGCTTGAAGTGGCTCTAACTGTAGACAGGACATGTTACTTTTAGGAGTTATCTTTTTTTTATGTAAAAGTTGTATGATCTCACAACAATTTGACTAAGAGATTTGAATGCACATCCCTAATGTTCTTGGCCCTTGGTAGTCCCATGTGCCTTTTTGTGTTCTACTGAAAATTAATTTTGGAGCCTTGGCTCATTCAGGTTAAAGTTGTGCCTGTAGTGATAAATCTGGTATTACCTGATTCTTGCTTACTCATCACTGTCTAAATGTCTGCTCTTACATATCATTTGAAATCTGATATATACATTCTTTGCAAATATTTATTAGTAACTCGTCTCTCATGTAAATTTACAAAGGAAATTTAAGTGAAGAATTTTCCTTTAAAAATATTATTCTCAGCATCAGATGTTTCAAACACAAAAAAGCAATTGGGACTGCAACCTCTATTTTAAAGAACTTTAGTAAATATTTAATATTACAGAAAAGAAAGTTTATAACAGATTCAAAAAGATCCAAATGGATCTCAAAGTCACCGTGTTGTTTCAGGCCAATTCCACAAGCCAAATACACAGGGGAGCCTTGGAACTTAACTTCATTTACAGGTTTGGGACCCATCACAAAGGTATGAATAAAGACATTAGCTGGCTAGCACATACCTTGCACATCCTAATGACTTAAAAAACCAAACAATGGCACTTAAGAACAATTTGTACTTCTCTATCAGCTTCATGTAACAAGAACACTCTAATTGACTATTTTCCCCCTCCCCCTTTTTTCCCCTTCCTTCTTCTCTTCCCTCCTCTTCCCCCCTTCCTCCCATTCCCTATTTGTTTTGGAACTGGACCTTTAATAACTCCATTAATCTGAAGAAGTGGGTTGTGCTCACGAAAGCTCATGATACCATCTACATGTTTTGTTAGTCTTTAAGGTGCTACTAGACTATTTGTTGTTTTTTAAGTTTTTCTAGTTACAGACTAACTTGGCTACCCCTCTGAAGCAAAAAGATCCATGTTCAGGATATCATTTTGTGTCTCACGTATAAATTTCTTCCTCTTAGGAAGAACAAAGTATGTTAGCAATGGAGGAGGAGGGGACTGTTCAGTTACCACTCGAAGGTCATTACAGGTAAAATATACTTTTGATTAATTTAGGGCTGATGTAAACAAACATCAGAAAAGTACTACAATTTTATAAAATGTTCTCTGTCATGCCACAGTACAGTGGCAATTCTTAATCTTGGCATAGAGTGAAATCAGTCCTTCCAAGAGAAAATATGCATGTGTGTTAGCAGAACACAAATCTGCAACTCAAACCTTGTTGTGCTTCATGCTTTTGTGTCACAGGTTCTACCTCTTAGCCTGGGGACCTGATCCTGCAGACTTCATGCAGTATAAGAAAAGTACATAAGTGGAGGTTTTGCATGTAAAAGACTGCAGAGCCGGGCCACTAATGGTGCATAGTTGTGCTGACTCGTGGTGCACCCATAACAAGAATTGGGTGGCAGGGTCTCAGGCTTTGGGCTGCAGCCAAACCCCATGAACCTGCATCAACTGGCATGGGCCAGCAGCAGGTGTCCAACTGCAGTGTAGACCCTAAGAAGGGCATGTCTACAGTAGGAAATTATTTTGAAATAACTAAATTCAAATAATAATTCCCGAAATAACAAAATTGAAATAGCGTGTCTCCACTATGAGGGAGCCTTGAAATTACTCTGAGGCAGGCTCCATTATTGTGGATGTGCTTCCTTGACTTAGAGCCCCAGGAAGCACTGGGGAGTAATGACTTTGAATTACTTGGGGTATGTCTACACTACCACCCTAGTTTGAACTAGGGTGGTAATGTAGTCAACCGGAGTTGCAAATGAAGCCCAGGATTTGAATTTCCCAGGCTTCATTTACATGTTGCCGGGCGCCGCCTTTTTTAAATGTCCGCTAGTTCGGACTCCATGCCCCGCGGCTACACGCGGCACGAACTAGGTAGTTTGGACTAGGCTTCCTATTCCAAACTACTGTTACTCCTCCTTGTTCCACAGACACAAAAGTCCACAGACACAACCCAGGCACTAGACTGATAAACTGGTACAGTTCATCAAAAACTTTGTTGCAGAGTACACCAAGCTTTGATCTTTGTACAAATAAAGTCATAAATGGTATGCAATATTCAGTGTTGTGTGATCACAGATGAAGGCAGTTAATGTTTAAAAATATAAATATGAAAGGTTAAGTCCTGATTGGATGTCCTGATAAATACATCAGTGTCCTAAATTTGCTTCATGACAACATGAAAGCAACTGTTTTGAGCAGTACTGGCTCCCAGAGTGACCCTTTCAAAGTACAAACAGGAGTCAAACAGGGCTATATCATCACCTCAACCATGTTTGTGGTCTTTATTGCCGTCATTTTCCGCTGACGTTGAAATCTTCTACAGAATGGATGGAAAGCTGTTTAGGCTTAGCAGGTTGAAAGCTAAGAGCAAGATTTCCACCACATCTATAGTGGTACTTCAGTATGCTAATTATAATGCAGTTTCTGCCCACACTGAGAAGATCTTCCAACTATCCTGAATATGTTTGCTGATGCTTACACAAGTCTTGATCTCACCCTCAACACTAAGGTTATCAATCAGCCTTCTCTAAGGGTGTGCCTACACAGGAGCTACGTCAATTGCGCAGCTTATTTCAAAATAGTTTATTTCGAAATTGGGAGTGTCTACACAGCACTTATATTAAAATAGTGTACTCTTCTTTTGACTTCCCTTACTCATACAATGAGGGTTACAGGAGTTGGAGTAAGAAGTCCTCCAGCTTGATAATATTTCAACATTATTTCGAAATAACAGCCTGCTGTGTAGACATAGACTAAGTTATTTTGAAATAACACTAGTTATTTTGAAATAATGTTGCTGTGTAGACGTACCCTAAATGTGGTACCATACACCCCATCTATTAAAATCAATAGCGAAGCACTGGAGAATGTCAATCATTTTCTCTATCTTGGAAGTTATCTTTTATCCAAGGCAGATATAAATGTAGAAATCCAACATTGTCTGTGCTGTGCCAGCGCAGCCTTTGCTCATTTATGGCACAGGGTTTTTGAACAGACACCAAGCTTCTTGTCTATCAAGTCGTCATTCTTCCAACCCTATTGTATGGGTCTGAAATCTGGGCAACCTACAAACATCACTGGAAAGTCCTTGAGAGGCATCACCAATGCTGCCTCTGAAACATCTTGAAGATCAAATGGGAGGACAGGCATACTAACATCAATGTTCTGGAAGAGGCAAAGACCACCAGTACTGAGACAATGATCACCTGTCAGCAACTTCACTGGACTGATCGTGTTGTTCTCATGCCAATGCATCACCTCCCAAAACAGGTCCTGTTTTCTCAGCTGAAAAAAGGATGCAGTAACATGAGAGGACAACGGAGGCATTATAAAGGACTTGCTAAAGGATAACGTACAGAACTGCAACGTTGACATTGACATATGGGAGACAATTGCCCAGGATTACTCCAAATGGAGAGAAGTCCTACACAATGGCTCTCTGCATTTTGAAATTGCCCACTGACAAACTGTGGAGGAGAAGAGGTGCAGGAGGAAAGGGAGACTGGCTTCTAGTCATGGTCAGCTTCTAGTCATGGCCTCCTGCTGTACCTGGAAACATCTGTCCTCACTATAACAAAACTTGTGGTTCAAGGATCAGCCGTATCAGCCACCTGAGGGTCCACAACTCCCATGGAAGATGATCATACTTGGCAATGAGTGAGCACCATCATCATCACAATATTCAGTGTTGTGCTATCACAGACAGAGGCCCTTAATCAGGTGAAGGCAATAATTTTTTTACCAGGGTCCACTTCAAAACTGCCCTGAAAGGGGCAGAGCCTCAGGCAGAAGGGGCGGGGCCAGGACACCCTGATATGTCTGTGTGGGGGAGCGAGTGAAGTGTTTGCTCCTGTCCCCACCCTCCAAGAGAACTACCAGCTGTTCTGAACAGCTGGAGGTTCCCTGTAGGCACAGGCCCCTAGTGGTGGGAGGAGATGTCATGCACTCTCCCCTCTTACCCCCAGGTCAATCAGGGCCTGGGGGGGCAGGCGGGGAGCATGCCAAGTCTGCTTAGAAGCACCGCTTGCTCCTTGCAGGACAGGGGCAGGGCAGCAGGGAACTTCATGCGCTCCCTCACTCCCAAGCCCTGATTGGCCTGTGGATGGAGAGGTGCACAAAGTCTCCTCCCACCCTGCAAGGGGCTCGACACTTAACTGCCAGGTGAGCAGCAGTTGGCGCTTGACTCTAAGTCCCGAGCCCCTTTCAGGGCGGGAGGAGACTTTGTGCACCTCTCCATCCACAGGCCAATCAGGGCTTGGGAGTGAGGGAGCGCATGAAGTTCCCTGCTGCCCTGCCCCTGTCCTGCAAGGAGCGAGCGGTGCTTCTAAGCACTGTGTGCTCCTTGCAGGGCAGGGGTAGGCAGGAGGAGACTTTGCATACTGCTCCCCACTCCCAAACCCTGATTGCCGTGGGGGTGGAGGGAGCATGAAGTCTCTTGCTTCCTACCCTCCGGTGTGATGCTTAGAGTCAACCACCAGGGTTGACTGTAAGTGCCGTGCACTCCCATGTCCCTAGGCCCTGATTGGTCTGGGGGCGGGGGAGTGGCAGACCCTCCACAGGCCAGTTCAACCTGTTTGGTGGGCCAGATGTGGCCCGTGGAGGCCCTTTCGCCCAACTCCTGCCCTTAAATGCTTAAAATAATAAACATATGAAAGGTCAAGTCCATGACCCTACAGTTTTTACTCTGAAGCAGTCCTAGTGAAGCTAAGGGTGTAAGTAAAGGGTTTAGGAGTCTGCTGTTACAGGTTTTTAATGCCTCTTTTATTTTACTAGAAAGGATTTCATTTTGAAATCATGAAAAACAAATCTTTACATTACGCCATCTTTCCAGTGGTTTTAAAATACTGCAGCTTGTACTTGTAATTAGCATGGTCTAGATCAGTGTTTTTCAGTCTTTTTAATACTAGGGACTGGCTGGCTGCCTTTCTCAACTCTCTCAGGGAGATCTCTGGGACTATCAACGGTCAACAGATCAGCCATAGAGAAACACTGGTCTAGAGAATTGATGATAGTGGTAAGAAACAGGAGTTCTTTCATTTTAGTCCATTGATATGTTCTGTTGCCTTAGGAAATTGACATAATCTCTCTATACCTCATTTTCCCCTTTATAAATTGGTGGTGATATCTAATTACCATACAGATGTTATTAGGATCAATTCATTCATGTTTTCACAACATTTTTCAAAACTAAAGCACTAAATGACATTAATGGAAGTTGTGTGAAATTGCTAATAATAATTACCAAATTCTAATATAATTTTAACATATTTATACATTTATTATTATCATCATCGTCATCAATGGCCAAGTCTTGCTGTAAAGTAATATAGAGAACAAAGACTGATCACTTGTGATATTGTGTGTTCTTTTTGTATAGAGATGATCCATCTGTGATAAATATTTCTGATGAAATGGCAAAAACTGCCGTATGGAAGACACTGCTGATATCCTCAGAGAATGCAAAGGATAAGGAGTCAAGCTTTCCTTCTAAAAGGTTTCAACTTTTAAGTTATTAATATATTAAACTTCATGTTTTGAACCAAGCAAAATAATTGATTTTTTAAAAATTGAAAAATGATCAAATATAAAAGGTCTTTAGCTACCAGTAAATGTATTTCTTGAAGAGTTATTTATTTAAAAAAATAATTAAAATATTCTGAGCCATATGCTCCCTATTACCTTATAGAATCATAAATACCTGCATGCTAGAGTGGGAAAAGATATAGTTCACCAAGCCTGATGCCTGTGTAACAAACCACATAGCAATTGGAAATCACATAGCATTTGTTCTGATCTATTCTTTGAATAAACACAACATGGCCATCATTGTAACTGAAATGTTCACATGTAGCACCCATTAGAGTTAATGAGTACTACACATATACATATAAGGCAGAGTTGAACTCTTGAAATTGCAGTAAACATCTTTTTCTTTATGAATATTTGTAATAGCCAACCAAATGTAATTTCCTTTTGGTATAAGTTTAAAATATAATCCAGGTATGTTAAAAATGAAGAGAGCATTTTTATCCATGCCAGACCATACAAATATGAATGAGTAGATATGTTAAATATAGAGCATTTATTGTAACAAATACTTTCCTCTATTTCCATAACTTTTAAATTAACATGATTTTCTACTTAATTGTTTCATATCACATTTCTATCATAAGCTCCCCTTCCTAATCACTCTAGAAGCTGATTCCCCAAAGGTAAGACCCTGCCCTCTACCTCCTACTTGATTGCATTTTCCCATTTTAATTAGTGTCTTCTCGAAACCCAGTTGATTTACTTTATGTAATTTTTGGGGAGACAAGATGAATGGAAAATTCATGATCCATGCTAAAATAATTCTGTCAAAATCCTCAGTGTTATTTTGCTATATTTGAAATAGGTACAGTTCTATAAGGTCTAGAAATGTTTTTATAGACTCAATATAATTTGTCTATTTAATCAAGAAATTGAGGTTACTCGCAATATATACTTTTTTATTTGTCTAATTTTTTTTATTATTTTAATCCAAAATTTGTGCCCGACATTTCTAATTCCAAGATAAATCCCTGAAAAAGATTTAAAGCAAGGATTGACTTTTTAATTGCTTTGGGAAGAGATGAAATAGTGGAAAAATATTCAGTTAACATCTCTCAGCTGAGTAGAATGAAATATAAAAGCAGTGGTCCTGAATTTTGTCACCCCAAAATGGCATGCTGCTTTTTCAGTGTTGTTCCTTTCTGTAAACAGCATAAACAAGATGAACAGTTGATGACCAAGAATCTTCATTTCAAATCTCTGTAGATCAGCTTACTCAGTACTTAATGTTAGAAGCAATTTACTATCAAAATAAAAATGTTGCTCTGATTTTGTGTGTCACCCTCTAGATAAATTCCAAAGGCCATAATCAAAGTAGATTTGCTGTGATTCCACTGTCCATAGGAGATGTTTTATAGTGAGGCTGTGCAGGGGGACTCCCTTTGTATTTAGGGACTGTCTGTTAATAGCTATACGGGTCCACTCATCAAAATTCCTATATCAGAAATGTAGCGACTGCAATTTTAGGATAGCCACTGAGAGGTTGCACTGGCACTCCTCCTCTTGAAAATAGGATTCTTTATTTTAGTTTCCACAGAGATATTCTGAGAGAGGCTTATGCACTCATGTTACATGCGGGAATTCAGAATTGAATTCAAATAAAGTAATAAGACTCAGAGGCTTACTCAAATGAGTACCAACTTGCTTAGAATTCTATTACTGAGGAGACTTTATTTCTGGGTTTGTATTTTTAGTTAAGGGGCCCTACAGGAGTTTTCTTGCTTACATCCACTAGATGCTGATCTTGAACTTAAAACATATAGGTCCTCAACCCATGAGCTACAAATTTTACAGTTCTATATTCTTCTGCATTACATGTAGCTTGTAAGCTCCTCAGATCACGGCAGTGTCTCACTTATCTTCCATGTGCCATGCATACCAATGGTGCCATATTTTTTTTAAAAGCAAGAATAATTAATGTGTGTTTGTATGTGTACACACATTGGAGACACACACACATTAGTCAGATTATCTAAATTCTCTGATGGAATATACTGGTGCACCTCCACTGATTTTAACGGAACTGTAGCAAACTACACTAGCAGAAAATTTGGTTCAGATGATATTAGTGAGGTTGATGGGTTGGCTCTCAGAAGATAATTTGACCTTTATGACCATTCTCTGTTTCCTGGTAATTATTTGCACTCCTTTTACTCAGCCTAAGAAGTCCATACTAATGTAAATAGCAACTGGAGAATTAGGCCCTTTATTTTTCACTTTTAGGTTTCTAATCATAAAAATCTCAATACGGTAAATGCCCAATCTGTTCCTATAGAAATCCAAAGTTTCCTGTGTCTAGTGGCATAGTTTGTCTCAGCTGTCTGGGTAGAACACAGGGAAAGAAGTGGATTCCAAGAAAGAAAGAACACAAACTTTTCATTTTTTGTTCTTCATAAAGAAAGCAAGTTCATCTCATGCTTAGTTATGATATAGAAGAAACAAAGCTAGATAAGGGCCAGATTAACTTCAATGGAAATTTTTCACTGACATTTGAGAATATAGTTTGATCCCAAATGGATGGGAAAATGTTGAAAATAAATGAATGAATGCAATGGTGTAATAGTTATAAGGATGACCCGACGCTGAAAAGACCCAGGGGCTTTGCATGTAATCAAAGGAATGGCATGACAGTATTCTGCTTCCTGTAGAAAAATATGTTCTGCCACTGGAAGAGAAATATTCTGCCACAGAAAGAGAAAGCCATGAATTGTCTTGTGTTGAAGGCAATTGCACTTGTGCTTTTAGGACTAAACCACACAAGCCTTTGTCTATAGTCCTGTGCTCATTTATATGTTATTATATGTTACTGAAATAATATGACTAAATGAGGTAACAGAAACAAATTGAGATCTTGTAATAAGATTTCATACAAGCATTTATCACCAGTAGAGGCTCTGTCAAGTCAAAAATATGCAAAGTCTTTGGAGTGCGTGAATCTTGAAAATCTCTTTGGTGCTAACACTAAATAAACAGATCAGGGCTGCAGGTATCCCAGAGCTGCTTTAGAGTAGAGATTAGCAAATGATTGCTCAGCCACTCCAGTACAGTTACCCTATCAGGGTATGTCTACACTACAAAGTTAATTCGAACTAACAGACGTTAGTTCGAATTAACTTTGATAGGCGCGACACATGCAAACTGCTAGTTCGAACTTAATTCGAACTAGCGGAGCGCTTAATTCGAACTAGATAAACCTCATTCTACGAGGACTAACGCCTAGTTCGAATTAACTAGTTCGAATTAAGGGCTGTGTAGCCACTTAATTCGAACTAGTGGGAGGCCAGCCCCCCCCAGCTTTCCCTGGTGGCCACTCTGGCCAACACCAGGGAAACTCTTCTGCCCCCCTCCCGGCCCCGGAGCCCTTAAAGGGGCACGGGCTGGCTATGGTGCCCGTG